TGCCACAATTTCCAGTTGCTCAGGCACTGAGCAGGGCTGGTGCTTGTAGTCGATGACAAAAGGCGCCCGAGGGGACAGGCCGGCTGCTGCCAGGAGACCTGAGGGGAGAGAGGCGCCATTTTGAGGGGCCCCATGCCTCTCCTCAGGACCTCGGCTGTGTGGCGCCCGAGAGGCCCTTGCCTCAGTCCCTGCCTCTCCGAAGGGTAGCAGACTGTCCTCTGGGGGTGGGGAAGGGCACAGTGCCTCCCCTCTCCTCACTCGGGCTGTGCTCTGCTGGGGACCTCGGAACAACAGTTAACTAACTTTTTAGGAATGGGGTCTCTGAGCAAGGGGAGGACTATAGTGGACAAGTACATACATTCCTTGGGTGCCATACCATTGACTCACCAACAGATAGTTATATTCTCTGAGGTGCACAGTGACCCAGCCACAATTTTATTTCTTGGGTCTCGGAACATTGATCACTTCAGCTCCCTGTAACTCATCCTTCACAATGAAGAAGATTTAATTTATCATTTAATAATAATTTAATCATTAAATACCAATTAATCAGTTAAATGTAAAGGGGTGATGACAGCCCTGGGCTAAGAAGGGTAACTGTCACCTGGCAGCATAAAAACCTGAAAAAGGAAAGAGATGAGGAGGTTCAGAGTGGGCTGAGAGGATTTAGGGAAATGTTTGCATGATAAGCATTGCAAAAGAAAAGCAGAATGGAAACAGTTAAGGTTTATTAATAACCATTACTTGAGATTTCAGGGTGTTTGTGGCCAGGCCTTGCAGCTACTCACGTGATTTTACATGGAGATAAATATCCGTAGCTGAGACCTTCCATTCTGTGCCAGAGCTCATGAACCATATTTAGGTTATACTCTGGCAGCTCTTGCTGCTTCCCAGAGCATTAGGCATTGTTCTGATTATGAGGGCTGTGCCCTCCTTCATATTCCAAATTACCCTCCTTGTAGCAGCTCTTTCTGCACCATCAGCTAGCCACAGTATTGTAGGGTCACAGGAAAGAGGTGAAAACAAACATATATTTTAGGGACCAAAATATTCGCCTCAGAAGGACAAGGTTCTCATCACTGAATTTTAGGAACTTTTGCAACTTTCTGTTGAAAGGGTAAGAGGCTTTTGTTGAGGGGCAGGAAAGTTCCTATTTCTCAAACATCCTTTCTGAATATTCCAAAATACTTTTAAAATGGTATCACTTGACCACACTAGGAAAACCTGAGGTAAAGCCAAAAATAAAAAAAAAAAGGGAGGGGGAAAAATCAACATTTGTAAGTTTCATGCAAAGCATTTTTCTTTTTTCTTCTTTCAGCTCAAGTAGCTTGGAAAAGAAGATACTTGAGGAAACTAATGCATCTGGCAATCTCTTCTGTTAGAGTAAGCTGCTCACCAGGTAGCCACATGTTGCAGAGTCATGCCGGACAGCGCTGAGCTTGCTCAGCCTCCTACAGCCTGAGAAAGGGGTAAGGACTCCTTCGCCCTTCTCTGCTTCAGCTGACACGCATTTGGAGGAGAGGAACTATGTCTGAAAAGTCATGCAAAGTTTGCATCAGATGAGCTCAATAGGATGGTCATACGCAGTCTAACTCTAGAAGTGAATAAATTTTTCTTTTCTTTCCTTAGAGAGCTCTGCACCCCGACAGTGGGAGTTGCCCAAGGTGCATGACTCTGGGCTACCTGAACAATTTCAGAGGGAAGTTCTTTCACAGTATCTCTTTTCCCTGGCCTCCAGCTATTCCTGCAAACTAATAACCTACTTGCTTCTAAGAGGAAGTGTCTGACAGTAAAGCATTGTATTTTCCGAAAGCTGCTGGAAAACAAACTGGTTATATGTTTACCTGTATTGACAATCCTCCCTCCTATTCATGCCAGTTGAATACAGGCCAAAGAACCAGCTGTGCTGCCCTAAAGTTTCTTTAAAAAAGGTTGTTCCAGAGCTCTCTCGAAGTCCCTCTCACAGGTGGAGAGAAGAGGACTCATTTTCACTGGAAGTATCTTTTTCTAGACATACAGACATACAAATGTCAGAAAGCGCTTCCAGAGGTTTTCAAGGAAGAGAGAAAGTGAAGGAACCTGGACCTTGTCTTTACAAGAAAACAAGTTATAAAGTCAAAATTCTATTTGCAGAAATAATTCTGTGTCATACATAACTCCATTCATACCTACATCATATAAATACTTCAATCTACAACAAAGAGATCATTTTTTTCAGCCTTGTATTTTCCTGGTAGGATGCCAAAAACTATGACAACTGACTGCCTCACTCATGCTCTGTAAGAGTGACACCAAGATATCACTGCCACACTGAGGCAGCCAGAGCACTGTGCGGTTTTGACCATTTGGAACACAAGCTCAAAATTTTGACCTGTGCTGAGCCCTTTTCCAGTGCTCAAGAGCTGTTCGTTAACATATACCCAAACACTACAAATTATGTCCATCATCAAACATCCGGTACAACCTGAGTGACCAGAGCAGCCATGGGCGTCACTGGAACTTTTGTCTTCCAACTTACCACGTGGCTTTCCAGAAATGCCTGACATCACCTCAGCTCCTTTTGCATTCAACTCATCCCCTGGAGCGAGTCACCTCTGGATATGTCTCTCTTCATTAGCTACAGAGGGAGTATAAATGAGCAGGTTAGAATGGTCATCTGGCTTCTAGACGCAGGTGTCAGGTGGGGAATCCTACCCTCTGTCTGTCTGACATAAACAGCCTAGCATGTTTCCCAACCAGGCAAGTAAGGCATGTTGCCCCAGAAATAAAACCTAGCAAGCTGGCATCAGATGAGCTCTATAGGATGTTCATATGCAATGCCCACTGAGGTTGCTGCAAGACAGCAAAAACCAAGAAACCAAGAGGGATACCAGCCTGACTTGAAAAAGTAATTTCATTTTATGCCATGACACTTGCCAAGTAATTGTACTCAGAATGACTGTTTTTACTGCCTAAATACATTTTTATTACTTGAGCATCCAGGTGGATTCAATTGTGCTTGCAATTTTGCAGACATTAAAGAGGGAGTCTAAATGACTGAGGCGGGGGAAAAAGAACAATACTGCACTGCTGTGAGACAGCCCGACACACAGACTAGAGCCTAGCACTAGTGCTCAGGAGCCTCAAAGTCTAGTCCTATTTTGACCACTGACTGACAAATGTCTGAAAGCTAGGCATGGAAAATGCAATGCAGGTGTTCTCAGTGTCTTTTGCAAAAATAATACTGGCTGAAATCTTCAACCAGTGTAAACTGTCAAATAACAGAAGTCACTGACTCCAACAGAAGCAGTATTACAAGCCAAATCTGGTCAGCTTTTAAGAATAAGAACTTCCTTCTTGAGCATCTTTTCCAAAAGCAACATGTGATACGGCATGAATGTAAGTAACACTTGAACCGGTATAACATACATTGAAAAAAAAAAGAAATTATTTAAATCAAAAAAATGTGATTCTGATAAGCCCAAACATACTTACAGGTTACATATTTTATATCAATAAATGTTTACAGAACCATAGCCTTAACTGATACTCAAAAGCCATTTCACTGTTCACAGAAGTTTTCATAAAGAAATAATATACAAGGCACACTAAACACTGTTGGGCCAAACACATTCTACTGTTTATTACACATATTACATTCTTAAATAAAAATGCGTCACATAACATTTTTGCATAGATATCTTACAATATACCAATTTAAAAAAGAATTATGAAACAGACCAGTAACAAAAATAAATTTTTTCTTCATTAATAATTTTGTAACATTAACATACCACCATCATATAATACAAATAATATTTTTAAATCTTAAGACTTTTTGTACAGCAAAAAAACTGACAAAGTAATATATTTATATATATATATATAAAAAGCTTAAAAAAAATAAAATGTCAAAAAAAGGCAGAACTGAGGGCTACAAGATTGGGTACTTCTGCGATATATTAGAAATACCAGAGTAGGCCTGAGAGAACGTGACCGAGGGCATCTCCAAAATGCACTTATCAGACACATCTGGTAAAAGAAAAATTATAGTGCAAAATGAAAGTCCTTCAAGCAATGTTGTTTGTTTCTGTTTTTGTTTTAAATAGGGAGCATTCATACTTTTTTGTGTTGTTGCTAAAAAAAAATCCCCCAAACAAAAATCTAATGTGTAGTAGAGAGCAAGAAAGGTTTTAAAGGACAAGAAAGAAAACAGGCCACTTTGCAAAGCAAGGAAAAAAAAGAAATCTCAGCCTGCATTATTATTTTTTCAACTAGATGAGTAGACATGCTAAACTAAGGCCTTGTTTCCAAGAGAAAAGCTGTCATGGTTTATATGCAGTGATTTCAAAACCAGGTACTTAAACTGGTGCAAGAACCTTCCTGTAGAGGTATCTTAATTGGTTGCAGCATTTCTTACGCTCCAGCTTAACTGCATAGGATGCCAATGCAAACCCAATCCAGGCAATCAAGTAATAGGTGCAGCTACAAAGTGATTTTAACTAGACCGGTATTTTAACATAGGGCAACTTCCCTGGTAGAGACATGGCCTTGGTAACAAAGTAGTGTTTAAACCAGTGTTTTGATCTACTTCCAGCATCTGACAGGCCTGCGGTTTGAAATACAGAGCGACAGGTAAAATGTATGTAGCAAAATATAAAGTAAAGATCAGCCCTTCAGCCATCAGGCCTTCCAAGGACTGCACGTTAGCTTTTCATTTCCCCGAGAGCCCAACAATACAGGCTAAAATTGTCACCTTTCTGTCCATTCTAGTTCACTTCTAGTGTGTACATGCTAAGCCCTCATCCCCCTCCCTTCCCACCTCCCCTCCCAGTCCCCAAATTTGCAGCCTACTCATTCACAGTACACAGCAACATGTATTTCTCAGCATTGTTGAAAACTTTCCTACAGAAGCTGACATGATTCCTAAAATGCAGCGGCAACAGCAAGTGCCCTCCCTAAATCAAAGCAATAGGCACGGTTGGCTACTACAAACTGTAAGTCAGTAGCTCAGTTTCCTCTTCTGTGTAGGTATATATGGTACACTGTTGTACATCTACACCCACACACAGAAAGGGTGGAGAACCTGTTTTCTGGCAGTATACAGAAGTTAGGACCAAAGCACTTAAAAAAAATCATCAAAGCTTTCATTTTGAAAATTGTGAAGAGTTCCAACTTCAATTATTACACTCAAAATGCCATTAACAAGTATTAAGGAAAACTATAAAACCCTGTTTGAAAAATGACGCCTGCATTTGAAAGTTTTCAGGTAGGGAAACCCATTCTGGGGGGGTGATAAAGGCAGCCTACCCCCCCATCTCCACATTTTTATGTATATAATTTATATATACAACTATATCATTATATATATAACTTATATAGCATGATTATGTCTTGGACTTCTTCCTCTAAGGGAGAAGGAAAGTCTTAGCTTTATGAGACAGATCTTAGTACCTGGTAGGCCAGATCCTACAGTTCTTACACTGCTAAATCTTGCCACTGAAGCCAGCATAGAGCTGTGGAGGAGAAAGACTGCAGTAGTCATGCCTAAACTATTAATAAAAAGAGACACAAATGTGACAAAAGCAAGAAGAATATCCAAAGCTTGATCTGGAAATGATCGTTCAAGAAGGCATAGATTCAATGCTAATGAAAGACAGGCAAGACTTGTCAATGAGTAGTTGTAGAATCTTAGGAGGAAATAATTTTCAATTTTCAAGAGTTAAACAGAGTTATTGTCAAGCATTGTTTTTGTTCTTGGTATGTGGGGATCTTTGCAAGTGCAATTCTATCTGAAATCAGCAAAAAGTACTTTAAAAGAGTGTCCGGTTAGAGGCATCACCCAGGATATGAAAGCTTAAAAACAGTCTTACTGGATGGAATGACAGGATGTGCCAAGTCCTGAATGAAATCAAGAATAAAAGCCCTTGGTCCACTGGGTGCTGGCCTAGTAACATTAAATTATTTACAAAATTTTCCTCTTTTTTTATTTTTTAAATTTAAAGATTTTGACACGCATTAAGGGAACAGGCAGAGAAAAGGAAACACTTAAGCAAGTTGGATTTTCATCAGTTTTGACAAAAGAACCGATTATGACCTCTTTTCTACACAGATAAACAAACTTTGTTAAGTATAAGAAGCAACCTCTGTGTTAGAGACAGTTAAAAAGCCCAAATTGTCTAGGGCCAGGTAAAAATGAGGGAGAAAGCCTGATTCTGTAGGTATCAGAAAGGTCACAGATAAGATACACTCAATCACTGTAGTTACAGCCATACACCCTAGAGATTAGTTATCTTTTTACTCCTGAAGTCAAAACAGTTCCAAAAGGAAGGACCTGGTGGCTCCTCTTGCACTCAGGGTCTTCTTCCCCATCGTTGTTTGGTTAGTGCCTTCCACATATTAAGTGAAAATGTGCAAGCCTAAAAAACCAATAAACCCAATTCCAAAAAGTCTGAGGAAAATAAGTATAAATAAATAAAAAAAAAATTAATGTTCACCTTTGTAGAAATATATGTTGGCTTAGATTTCAGGTCCTGGAAACCATTTTTTGAGACATCACATGGGTTTTCCAGGTTAGCAAACTTGTTTCCATAATACCTGGTTGGTCCCTGCAGCTGTGACACATCTCATGGTATAATATTTCTTCAAACTGGTTTGCTAAGGGGTTTGGGTTTTTTTAAGATTTCCACCTCTCTAAGTCTCCCTCATGAAGAAGCCTTATAAAGTTTAATAAGGATGAAACTATCAGAGTTTGAGAGAAACCCTACAGACCCATCCTATAGTCTGTTCCGCCAGCACAAGACTGGGAAGAACTAGAATCAGTACACATTTAATCAGTGACAGCTCTGAAATGAATCATAGAAACACGGAAAAATTAATGTTGGAAGGTACCTCTGGAGGTCACCTAATTCAACCCTCTGTTTAAAAAGCAGGTTAGTCAGATCAGACAGCTCAGGGCCTTATCCAAGACATCAAAAGAATCTAGGATTTCAGTCCGTCCTTTTTCTTCTTCATTTGCCAATTTATCCAGGTAACATAATTTTCTACACAGAATATTGGCTATTGAAAAACAACAACTCTGGGATAATGAAAAATACTCTGGAATCCTCTTTTCTGTTAGACCAATCTTTATAAAATACATGTGATATTTTAGGTTGCTCTTTATCTCCTAAGGGGAAAAACAAACAGAACAAAGATGCACTGAAGTGTTGATTTTGGTCAAAAAAGTGACTAAAATACAGCATCATGTGTCTTCATGTTTGATTGTATGAGTGAAACAATACATTTTTTTAGTTTAAGGTAAACCAGCAATGATTATGTTGGAAAAACAGAATTTTGCTTGCCAGGCCTCAAGTTGGCAGTATAGAAAACATATTTCTATAAGCATATTTTTATACACAGATTCAGCAAATCTGATTAGAAAAATCTTTATACTGGTGCTTCCTAAACGATTTTTCGTAAGTCAGTTTTAAAAACTGAATCTTGTCATAGAGTATAGCTTGTCTCAATTAGATAACGGAAAAATCCAGAATAAATAAATTATATCAACACTGTAACATAGGAAGCATATCTTGATCTGGAATATTGTGTCAGGCTTTGGTCTCCCCATTACAAGAAAACTATTGACATATTGGAGTACATCTAACCACCATGGAGATCAGGTTCTGGAACAAATGATGGATGAAGAGAGGCTGAGAGACATGGTTCAACCTTAGGTAAGGGTAAGGGTAGATCTTATTGCTGTCTACAAATACCTAACAGACGGTGTATAGAGATGAAGCCAGACTCTTCTTGGAGGTGCACAGCAGAAGAAGGAATGAAAACAAGCTGGAACATGGAAAATCCCCACTTGACACATGGATGTAGTTTTTTTTTACATAAAGGTGGCCAAATATTGGACCAGCTTGCACAGAGAGGTTGTAGAATTTCGATCCTTGGGGATATTTAAAACTCAGCTGGATATGGCCCTAAGCAACCAGCTCTAGTTGGAGGTTGGCCAAGATGGCCTCTGGAGGCCCCTTCCCATGTACATGATTCTATGATTGACTGCTCTGCTCCAAAATATATTTTAGCTATTCACAAAACCTCACATTTGCTTTAGCTGCTTCCTCTATGTACACTATTTTGTGAGACTTTAGTCTCAATTTGTTCTCATCCTATAGTTCCATGGCCTTGGAAACCACAATCTGACTGTTTTATAATGGCTTCTCTTTTGCAAACAGGCATAAATCTAGCATGAAGGAAACAAGGTTAAGCTTCTCCTTTCTACAGCTGAATAACTCAGTCCTCAACGGTCACCATAGCATCTATTTATGGGTTTGCTTCCAAGAAGCCTTACAGAGAAGATTAGCCTTTCCTCATTAGTCTGTTTCTACTCATAGTTTACGAATAGAGGATAACGTACAACTTTAGCAAGGAGATACAAACCCAAAAAGGATCTAGCTATTACAGATTACACAAGTTTGAAGTGCACAGTTTAAAATATCTCCGAAGAAACAAAACTTGTCATTGTTAAAAACGAATCCTGGAATGTGTCACTAATTATGCCTTTCCAAAATGGAGACTTCTTCTACAAAATATTAGTTGTGGTTCAAAATTGTAGTAACGACTAAGACACTTGCATATGAGCACCCAAAAACTGAAGTCCAGAGATTGACTGAGTACACCATGTATACAGGTGAAAAATATCTCCCTTTACAAACAGAAGAGATGGTCCCAAAGCTCAAAATTTGGCTTCAGAGTTCAAGACCTGCTACAGAGAGAGCCTGAGAAATCTGAAATCTAGTTTAGTCTCTTATCCCCCTTTCTCTATGTTTTTTAGGCTATTTGGATCCATGATTTAGATGTGGGCCTGCCTTTAGAACAAAATAACCAGACATTTCAGCATATTTTTTTTTCCATGGAGCCCTTGTTCTGCCATATTTAAATAAGATATCAACAAGACCATAAATGACAACTGGAAGTAAATAAACAGTCTTGCTTGATTTTTTCCACTTTACATAGAGTCTTGTACTTAAACTGTCACTTAATAATTAAGGTTTGTAGACTACTGATAGAATGTCTAAAGGCAGGTGTGTTCAGAAGTCAGAGGACATTTATGCAGGTTCACAGCCAATGAATATCATAGTGGCGGGTTTGAGAGCACGCACTTTAGGATACTACAGTAATGAAATTCTAGGATTCTCTTACCCTTTTTTTAATCTAATGCACTGACTGGATGCTCTACCGTTTCACACAGCTGAGGTTTCAGTTCCCATTAGACATCTGGCAGGATGCTCTATATATTCCAACACAAATTGGATTCTAGGGCCCTCAGTCCCAGTGGAACAGCTGAGTGGAATGGCCATAAAAAGTATGCAAATACAGAAGCAGAGAAATACGAGATTGTCAGCAAGCAGTGCTCCGCAATTTTTAAATGTATACATATATATAAGCATATATATATATACACATATAGAGTATAGTTAGTTTTAAATCTTTGGAATAAACTCAATTTTCGTTCTCCCTCTCTTTCTCTCTCTCTTTCTTTTCTTTCTTTCACTCTCTCTCTTGCTCTCTCTCATGCTCTTATCATGAATGTTACATCATTGTCCCTAAAAGATGGTTAGATTTTGGTCCATATTTCATGCCATATGGGCCAGACATCGTATTTCCCCCCTGTCCCCAAAGTGTTCAGTTGACAGTCACAGTGTTTTGTGAAAACTGTGAGGAAAAACAGCATCTTTCAAGTAAATTCAATCTCTCACTGGAACCAAAGGTTGCAAAATGCTGAGAATTCAAGTGCCAAGGATCCTGGTGACGGCTCTTCAACATCTATTGAGTTTCTTGTTTGTTCTTTTCTCCCCTAAGAGTACAGTTTTACCTCCCAAAACATAAATTAAGGGAAATATTTAACAGTCAATGAGTCAAAACAGTCAGAGAAGGGCAGTTGGCTAATACAGTATAAAAAAGCAGCAACCATTTGTGGACCACACACCATTTTGTTTCATTTCTAGACACATCTTGTAGGGATGGTCCCAGAATATACAAAATATACAACTTAATGACCACCTGCCTGCTTGCATAGGCCATTTTTATGGTCCTAAATGCAGTCTTTGGAGTCAGGGCCAGTGCCAAATAGTTTCAAATGCAAGTTATGGTATACATTTTTTTTGTTTTTCTTTTGTAATAAAGACTTTAATCCACTTTGAGCCAACGAAATCAAATTATCAATAGGACTGAAGAGTGAGCATGAGACCTCCACTTCTCCTTGATGGTTCACACAGTAGGCCAAAATGGACCTCTAGGTTAGTAATACTTTAGACTAATCATTTGGAAAAGCCTCACTGCTGTATGTAAAATTCAATCCTTCCTTCACCGTTCACACTGTTACATTTTTTCATACAGGAGTGGGCTACATCATAAACTTGATGAATGGAAAAGGAGGACTTTGATAATTTCTTTAAAAGGCTAATGCTGAATGAAGCCATTATACTTGGAAGAGGCTCTCGATTTCCCACTCAGAGACTGGAGTAGGATTTTTGGCTTGGGTTTTTTTTGTGTGTAAGATGCTCAACAAACATTAGCTTTAAATCAAAACGTCTGCAGGTGCTCTTTACACAAACAAAAGTCTAATGTTTTAAATTGGTTAATAGAAGAACAGCAAGAAAAAGCAACATAATTCATCATTAAGTCACTGTGGCTTGTGGCTAACATGCTCACATGATGTGGAAGGAATCCTGTAGTCATGCCTGTGTGGCCAGTCCCAGACCAATATCCAGGTGAAGACAAGGAGTTCTGAAGATCACTTGTTTGTGGAGAAAAGAGAAAAAACATTTAAGCTTCCAAATAAGCTTTTAAAGTTTTTTGTTCAACAAATAAACAAGAAGTCCTAGCTATGGCAATAACGTGAGGCCTACAGAGATATTAGGTGCTGTTTCTGAGGGATTTATCCCTTGGCCACTTAGCCATCATGGCAGCAGCTTCCAGAGTCCCTAGTGCATATGTTGTGCAATAGCCAAAACAAAAATTAAAATAAGAACAACCAACAAAAATATAGTCCTCCATGAAGTCTACATACACTCAGGCCAAAAAGAGGATATTTGTGTCACAAGTGTCACTCCACAGTCTACTGCCATTAAGGCCACTGGTATTGACTTAAAAGGATCTCAATAGCTCAGTTCTAGGAAGAACCACCAAAACCAAGACAAGTCAAAGTGTCTGTGAGAAGTCTGATGCACTGAACATTAGGAATTCTCAGACAAAGAACAAATGAACCAAGAGGTTAATTTTGGCTACCAAACTGGGATTTGGTTTTCTAGGTCATTGTTTTCCCCCCATCTATTTAAAAAGAAAGTTAGTGCTACAAATATGCAACTTCAAGACGACATATTCTCCTATTGAGTTGCACTGAGAAGCAAGTTAAATAAGCCCCTCCTACTGCTGTCCACCTGCAGAGAAGCCTCCTCCGTTTTCTTTCAATTCCATTGGCAAAAACAGGAAACAAATCCAAGAGGGACGACGTACTGTAAGCAATTATTCCTTCTCATTGACTTCACCTCTATACCATTTCCTCGGCTGCATCTTCTCCCATCCAGCTGGGGCAAGGCATAAAGAACTGATGTAAGCATTGAAGTATAATTGGGTGCATGACAGTGTGAGCGTGTGGTCTCTGTACAGAGGATTACACGTGATCAAGTTCTCTTCTCCTGCAAGGTAGCACGTTGCAACTTGAGTTCCACTTTCATCTCACAACACTTAGCTCAGGTGACATCCATGCCAAGTTGACTGATATTTAGATGTGTCTCTTCATGTGGAGGGCGAGGTGATCAGACCTGGAAAAACACCTGCAAAATAAAGCAAGTGGGAAATGAAATAATACAAGATTTGGGAAAACAGGGTTCCTGCTCCTTCCTCCTTATGTGCAGGAGGAAATATATATCCAAGTTTAGAGACATTCCTTAGATTATCCATGGATCACCACCAAATCCTGTGTGATTGATCTCTGTGACAACAGATGGCCAACTACCCTGGCTCTTCAGCAGCTAAACAGACTACTCTTCTCCCTTCTCTGTTCCTCTCCCTCCCTCTTCTTTCACTGAGTCAAACATCAGGGAAGAGTGCTCATCTATGCACCTTTAGTATAAAATGAAATATTTAGTATAAGTGTATGTGTGCATACAAAAAACCAAAATAAAACAACTCAGTTTTCAAGTATTCAGCAACACCAGTTTAAAAAAACACTAGCTTTCTCAAGTGCCCAGTACCTGCAACAAGCACTGAAGTACGATGTCAGTTTTGAAAGCTGAATTCTCATTTCTAACACCAAACTGGAAGGAAAGCTGGTTCAGAGTTTGGAGGCTGACAATCTGTCAGGCTACATATCTCTCCCTTTCTCTCTGCTGGAAATCTGGGTAGTAATATGTAGATGTTGATGAACGCTATCTCCCTGAAGGATGTTTAGAGAAGACAAGGTATTATGCCTATTTTGTAAGAGTGAAAACTGAGAGACAGAGAAGGCAAGGAAATTGTAAATCACACAAGAAGTGTGGTAAAAACAGGAAAAAAATGCCAGGACTTCAGCTTTCAACTTCATTTCTTTATCCACAAAGCCATTTTTCTCCATCTCATAAGAAAACGTAATGTTTTGACATTCTGAACACGTAGATGGATGCTGATGAGACAGACTTACAGTGGCAACCCGAGAGAACAGAGTTTTAGGGCTGGTCTAAACATGCAGTTGAGAATTAGGTAGGGCACAAATTTGAAATGAAGCATCTATTCTTGATTAACTCCCTCTCTAAAGGCTTATGACTGCCGCCTTCTGAAATTACTTAATCCACTTGGGAAGTGGGTTAAGATACTCAGAATAAAACACACTTACTCCAGGAGAAGAGCAACCCCACAAAGAGTTAATCAGGAATTACTATTCTAGAACAGCTGCCTTGTAGTAGACATGCCGCAGGGCACTCACAGCAGCAGGAACAGCAGCCCAAATTCAGGCACTTCACCAAGATATTGTCAGAGTGATCAAGGGAATAAGTTCTCAGGAGGACAAGTGCTCTTCTTCCCTGTCATTCAATACATACTCCATTTTATCAAGACTACCTGCAAGCAAGAATATTTTTTCAACTTCATACCCATTAGAAATGGGATTGAAAGCACCGACCCATTTCACACCCACTATCACAGTGTCATTAAAGATATGTATAGCACCAGAGAGCAAACCACAGGACAAGTGGGCAGTGGTTCTGGCTGCCTACCCCAAAAACCTAAAATGGAGCCTGACTGTCAAGGTGGCAGGACTCAGACACTCTCAGAAATTAAACTTCTACTAGATACTTCAAGTTGAGCACTAAATAACAGGAGGTTTCCAAGTTCCCTGCAAATCTTGGCTTGCCTTCTTTCCATCCTAAGCCACAAGACACTGGCTTATTTATTTTTACTAATAGGAAAAAAATCTATTATAAATATCACACAAAACTCCACATATCTGTGGCTTTTGAGTAAACTGTTTTTGTAGGCTCCGAGGGCACCATGAAAACTACTTCCAGAACTGACTTGCCTGGAACATGTTTTCACTGCCCCACAGATTCAGAGTATAAAAACACCACCGACACTGGTCTGAAGAACATCCAAATGGCTTATTGTGAGAATCTGGATAGCTCATACATGGGCATTGAATGTATTTCCAAAAAAGCAGTAGTTGAGTATTTCATATTTTTCAGAAAGAAGAAGGTAAAAGAACTACTCAGTAAAAAAAGCCAAAAACCAAAGATCAAAAAAAAGAACACTCAATCTAAAACCAAACACCCAGAGGATAAACACCCTAAGCACAGAAAGGCTGAGAAAGAGAACTATAAAAATCAAGACATTTTAAATAGTTTGGGTATCTTTTCCATCCTGCTGGCAGTATTGCCTTGCACAGGCAACCTATCTCCACCTACATGTAGAGATGAGTGATCAAGAGGTGCATTTTTAAGACAAAGAAACCTCAGAAGGCGGCAACTTTTACAAGAAAAGCTACATACTCATCTTCTGTGGATGCGCATAGCTCTGCTCAAGTCAACTGTTCGCTACTGATTTGTAGCAGCTTACAAAAGGGGGTTAATACCTTCAGAGTGGCTAAAATTAAAAAGAAAGACTTCAAAATAGGATGGACGCTGCATTCCTCCAAACTCCTACATGAAGCACACAGAGACAGATGTGAATGTGACAATGGACACTTGGCTTTCAACACAGCAGGCTCAGCACAGCTAGAATTTTCTAGCCCTAGGTGCCAAAACACACCCTTGGACCAACATCTCTCTCGTCAGTCTAAACTGAGAAAGCAGCATGCTCTGGCTACAAGGGCTGCCAAAACAAAACAACAGCTTGAGTGGCTGCCAAAAAGACATGCACCAGCTGGCACTTCAGTCTAGTCCTAGTCATAAGACCACCACCCAAGCATGGCTTTTCCTCTCCGATTGTCTCTAGTATAGATGCAACACAGGAAAAAGTATGCTGAGTCACAGCACAGCAAGATCTGTTAAAAATATGGATTCAATACATTGTTTTACATCAGTAACCACAGTATTAGCATCTAGTATATTTTTCAGGCCTAGAATATCTTTATAGCTAATAAAATGGTACCATATTTGCTAGTTTATAGTAATAAAATGGTACAATACTAATTCTTCACATTCTCCTGCTGACTAATTTGGTTAGTTCTGTCTCTTGGTAAGGGTGGTGGATGTGGACATTTATTTTCAACAGTAAAACAGTCCCCACAAAGTTTTACAGCTAAATGACACTGTAAAAAAAAGCTACTGATCAGTGGACACATCTTTTTTTTTCCTTCTCGGATTAGAGGTGGCAGTGGAAGAGGCTCTACAGGATAAGCTGTCAAGGGAAACTCCTTTCTTCACAAATTAAGAAACAGCAGCTTGCTGGTCTCTAGGCCTGTCCGTGAGCTGAGACCTTGCTCCACACCTCTGGCTCTTCATCTCTTCCAGTTCCAGACCAGCTCTGCACATTGTACATGGGCCCATCACAATCTTCCCCATCATCCCTCCCCCAGTCCAGCTCTTTCTAGAAAGGACAGTTTATGCTAGAATAAGATACCCTAATTCTGAAAGTCATACAGTGATATGCGATACATAAATTCCCTGCTCCCAAACATAATTCCTTCCTTTCTCTTTTTGCTCTATCTCCTTAGCAACACAGTACTGCTCGGCAATGAAGCCTCTGCAGCAGAAAGAGGAAAGGTAACTATGATCAGAAAAGAATATATTGCTCGGCCATCTTTCTTACCAGCTGTGGATTCTCCACTGTGCGATGCGTTCATTCCAGCTAAGCGTGCTCTTAGCTTGCTGTCAAGAAGGAAACCACATGCGTGCGTGAGCACACACAGAGAGGAATATATACCCCAATAGTTTGGTACTAAGCTGCTATCTCCTAAACACGTATTTATGTAGAACAAGCAAGTGTCACTACCTTGTCATCCTCTTCCCCTTGGAGTGCTGAGGACTTGCGCTGTGTGAGGAACATAACCCTAGCCTGGGTTTCTGAAGAGCAAAATTCCTGGGGAATGCTAATAACCAGCATATCCCTGGTGTATGGAAGGCGGTAGGGACTTCTACACTGCCTTCCACACCACTTTAGCCGATTTGCCTTTCTCCCCTGCTGTGACCAAACCGTACACCATCTGCAGTACATATAGTGCTACTCAAACCAGTGGTAGTTTGCCAGCTATAACTAACAATGTGATCTGTGTGCTGCTGGGATACGGCTGGGACAGCAGGAGAAGAGAATCGTGTCTTCTTATCTCTTTTGTTTTAAAATTGACCTGTACACAGGGGACATTTGATGTTGGTTTGATATCCCTTTGATGTTGGCCAGAAGGTCAGAGACAAATGCATCTGAAAACATCCTGGGAAGGGAACTGCAGCCAGCGTGTGTGCACAACTTCCCCCTTCTTCGCTATTTGGATTACCACTTTTACACTCTGATTGCCAAGGTATGGCCTTCACCTCTGAACAACAACAGGCATATGTTTTGTGCTACATCAGTGTTGTTAAAAGAGCTCCAAAAGGCTCCTTAAAGTTTAGCAAGCTATGATGTCTGAGGGAGTGACCACAACTCCTGTCAATAATGGTGGGTGCAATAAAGGGTAGCAGTTCAAATACAGAGAAACTGTTCTCCAGCTGGGAACCCTGGCTCAGGAAGGAGTGTCTTTAACATCAAAAGTCTGCCTAAATAGCTAAGGACAGATTTAGGCACATGTGTCAGTGCTTGCTTGAGGTGATATCTGCAATAGGTGGTAGTAGAGAGATCTGTGAAAGAGAAAAGGAAAAACAGTGGTATGGCAGAGTGGGCCCAAAGAACAGGCACTGTCACTCTATGAGCTTGCAACAACTCACTGGGAGAGTAAATACAAATCTGTCTCCTACCACCACACACAGATGGCGTGTGCATGGAGTTTAACAGTGCACAATCCCCAGCACTCTTAACTTACTAATAAATATTTTTCCTTCATGTACAGATTCAGCTGAAAAGCAGAAAATGCATTAGATGATTGCAGGAATATATTTCTTGACTGCAGGGCCTGAGTTGGCTGCCAAAGAAAAAACGTAGGTAGGAAGGGATAATATGGAGAGGGAGAAGAATGAATACTTAACAAAGGGCTGAAAGAGACCGAGGAGTTGAAAATATTGGCTGTATTTCTTTAGATCTGTGATAAAAAAAATTGTCTGTCCTGACACAGAAAACCTGGGGCTCTGTGTGTATATATGTGTCCGTGTGTGTGTTTGTGGGGCCAGGATGGTAAGTTTGTCCTTCAGGGGAAAGAAAAGAGAAAGGCAATGCCTTATATTTAAAACAGAGAACATAACTGTCTCCCTCACAGGGGTGCTTACACAAAAGCAGAACTCCAGAGGTCCCTCCTTGGCTTATCCTGTCCCTCATTCTAGGCAAACAAAAGATAATCCAGGGATAAAACAAAAGATAATCCAAGAGGAAGCCCTCTATGGGGGAAGGGGGACAGGAAGAGGGGAGACAAGGGCAGAAGAGCACTTAAGGAGATGAAGCTCTTGGAAAGGCAGGATGTGAAAATGATCGAATTTCCTTCCCATAAAAGGATGGAGTCCCTTGTTTATGTCCCACACATCCTCTCTCCACGCATGTTCTCTGCTGGTCTGGTGTACCCAGAGGCTTCCTAGACCCTTTATTGTATTACAAAACGTTTCCTTATCAGAGCAGAGAACCTTAGTGCTGCATTAAAAAGATGGGTAATTTTCTTAAACCTCTTTTAAAAATATATATAAATAGGATTAGCTGGATAACATGTTCAGATGCAAGCACATTATTTGATTACTCAATAGTGGATCCAGGTTTCACCGAGGGCACTGCCAATCTCCAGCTGGGGGGGTGCGAGGGGGAGAAGTGCTCATTGTTCGATCCTGTCAGTGCTGTCAAGAGTCATTACAGCGGTAATTGCTTTTGCTCCACCCTAGTTTCTTATCAATTGAGATTGGGGCTGGGAAAGAGGGTTTTCTTTTGGTTTTGTTTCTAAATTCAAAGAACCCAGCTTTCAAAAACGCTCAGCACCAAGCAAGGATGACCACATTTTTCAGATAAGCCCATCATTCATTCAAGCAGTTAAAACGGTGAGGACTGCAAAAAGGCATCGGCAGTGAGCGGCAGCAACCATGGCTCCCACTGGGAGCTGCTGGGTGCTCAGCTCACCAGGCAAAACTGGCCCCTCATTTCTGAGTGCCCAGAGGAGGATTGTTGCACGATAGGCTCTTCAGAAACCCTGGCTCTGGGCACCTGTCAGGATTTTAAATCTGGGCCCACACACAGAATGAAGGTGCAGAGTATTTCCCACACCAAACAGATGTCAAGGGTGAGATTTAAAACTGTAGGAAAAGGTTCACTAACTAGCAGGA